AGCTCTGCTGGGACGTGTGCAAGTCCAGCTCCGCCGGAATCCTGCTCCTTTCTGATGATCCGTTTGTGGCCACCGCTAACCCTAAGGATTGGGTAGGGGTAGGAGAAGGATCCTATGGGGACAGGATTGGCACAGAGGGGCAGGGTGGGCCTGAACAAAACTCAGTCACCTGACCAGGGGTCCAGAGTTAAATACAGTCACCAACAACTACTGCATCGGATGTGTGTGTGTGTGTGTGTGTGTGTGTGTGTATGAGAGACAGAGCAGGTGTGCGTGTCAGTATGTGGGTGTGATCTCCACGCTGGATCTATATGTGAGTGAGGAGTGGGGACTAGAACAGTGGTTCTCGAACTTTGCTACACATCAGAATTGCCTGAAAAGCTTTTCAAAAAGTCCTGATGCCCAGACAGTCCCCTATCCTGTTCTACTTAAACCAGAATCTCCGTGGGCGAGACTCAGGAATTAGCATTCAAAAAAAATTCCTCGGTGATTACAGGGTATAGCCTAGTTTGAGGACAGTGAATTAGAAGGTTTCTGTTGTTGTTGTTTTTAATATTTAAATGTTTACAAGAGAGAAAAGATGGAGTGATACGCCTTGAGGGGAGGAGTCTTTTGCGGCAAATGGTTTGTAAATGCAGGGAATTATACAATTTATTCACAAAGACTGTTAACGTGGCAAAACCCTTCAGAGATGATCTAACCCAACTTCTTATAGTTGCAGAGACCCTGAGAGAAACAGCGACTTGCTCAAGATGGCACATCAGTCAGTGGCAGACCCAGATTACAGCTCAAGTCTGCTGACACCAGGCAAGGCTCCTGCCACAGCACAGCTGTGAGTGTGTGTGCAATTGTGTGCGTTGTGTGTAGGTGTGTATGTGCGCACGTGTGTGTGTGCATACGTGCGCATGTGTGTGGTATATGCATGTGGAGAATTTCATATCAGAATATCTAACATTCTTCCATTTTATTTTTTTCAAACATCACATATCTTCTAAGCGGTCACACCCCACTGCAGAAGTACTTCCCAGATTTTTAACGTTGAACAATTGGCTTATCGGTATTTACAATTCGATGTGTGGGAAGAATGATTTATATTATTATTATTTTTTTCAATCTCTGCCAATGAGCTTAGCAAAGGAGTAGGATCCAGGGAAACATCATTTGCTATGAAACACCCTGGGGTACTCAGCATTTTTGCATGTGTTGTAACAGGCCAAGGAAATTCTGCCTAAAACCCCAACTTCAAGCCAAGATACGTTGTAAAGAAACAAGGATTGCTTCATTTGGAGTCTAATTAGTATGTTTTGCTGCTGGAACAAAGCTAAAGCACAAGCTCTCGTCACCATCTCCCATCATAGCTTGGTCCAGAGAAAACAAATTGAGGAGTGATGTTTGCTCACCGTCCGTGGTCAGGACAGGACAACTTTCAAGAGAGAAGAATGAGCAGAACCTTCACTCAGGCAGAGTGAGCCAATGAAGGACGGGGCTCCTGAGTGAGGAGCTTCGCCCATGCTCCGCTGCAGAGCTCCCACAAGCCTGCCACGAGTGACGAAGAGATGAAGGAATGAAGGAAAGGGAGACAGGCACCTCCCCTAGCCTAATGTCACCCCCCAACTCCTGTCTCAGACAAGAGAGAAATAGAGGTTTGGCCATTTTAGATGGGAAATGTTACTTCTGAGAAGAAAAGAGGATGGACCCACACTTGTCTAAGCGGGCAACGCGACAAAAATTAGTGTGCGGATTTCCCTAGAATGAGAAGTAAAATGACAAACAGAGCTCATTCAATTACACTCTGTGTGTGACGTGAGGCAGGGGGTGTTTGAGGTTCCATCAGAGATTCGGGGTAAGCTTTAGGAAGAGAAGCCAAGAAGAGTTATAAAGACCCTGATGTGGAGAAGGGGTTCCTTTTGGGCTGGATAAACAGTGTGCCAGCACTTCACCCCCATACAGAGAAGCTCATTATCAACCCTGGAGGGACCTCCCCAGCCTCAGGGAAGTCAAGTTTCCCCAGCAAGAATCTCTGCTGAGCAGCCAGGTCTCTTTCATTTTCCTCTGCTTCATACACAGTCTGACTTCCCCTGGGAAGAAAAGCACCCCAGGCACCCTGATGTACACAGGGACACCCTGAAGTCATGGGAAATAATCCTTAGGGGCCAGCTCCAGATGGGTAGGCAAGCTCAGAGAAGCCTCTTCCTGAAAGTCCCCAAGCCACAGAGAGACCCTACCTCCCTCCTCCAGGGCTGCCTGACCAGGGCCAGGAGTCGTGTCTGATCTGCTGCATTCAGGGAGGGAGGGCATGGGTAGAGATGGGCATTTGGTGCCAGGCTCCTCCATGGGGCTCCTTCTTCCAGCCTTTGGTGGTTCAATTCCCCCTCACTGACCTGACAGAACAGAACTCTGGTGGGGAGGGCTCTGAGGAAAAGACAATGCTATTGCCAGAGGTGAGGGTGGCCTGTTCCTGAGGGAACCCCCACTGCCTGTCCTTTACAGGGTACAGGAGCAGCGGACACTCTGATGGCAGCCTATGGGGTGTGGCTAGTCATCTTTAGGGCAGGGGTTCTTAAGTAGCGGGGCCCTGGATGGGATTCAGGAGGACCAAAAGGATCAAACACACCAGGGATATTGACTCTTAACTCTCTGGGGAGACTAAAGGAAAGTTCGAGTCTGTCCAGGGGATGAGGGGAATAGCCTGGGGTATGGTCCTTCCACCAAGAGTTTGGCTGCTAACCAAAAATGCTCGGCAGTTCGAATCCACCAGCGGCTCCTTGGAAACCCTATGGGGCAGTTCTACTCTGTCCTATAGGGTCGCTATGAGTAGGAATCGACCTGGTGGCATCAGGGTTGCTTTTTTTTTTTTTTAAATGGTCGTTCCACAGCCCCCAGCTCACCCCTATCAGGAACCAGAGGAGGCCCAGTGGATGGAGACCAATATGAAAAATTTTTGAGAGCAGGGTGAGTGAAGCCAGCCATGGTGCCAAACGGAATGCTTGAGTGGTTCTGATGGAAAGGACTGGAAATCTGATGAAAATGAAGCCAGATAAACTAGAAACACCAGCTCCAAGTGGCCGAACCACCTCTTACAGCTAGGATGCCGTTGGGGAACCGGACCCCCTTTGGGAACCTCCCCAGAAGCTGAAGGTAGAGGGTACATGCCCACAGGGTAAGTCCTTGGAGAGCCCCATTTCTGGAGAGGTATGCATTGGCCAGTGGAGCCAACCCTCACCTGGCTGAAGCCCCCTGGGGGACACTGGGGTGGAGATGTGAAAAGGGAACTAAGGAGACTCCATTAGGTAGATGTTACCCACAAACACAAATGCCAGAAACAGAGCACCCCAGAAAAACAGATGCTCAGTCAATATCCCGAAGGGGTGCTTGGGGCATCTGAAGCCAGTGTGAGCTTTTCTGGAGCTGTGAGATAGGAGCTCAGGCTAGGGACGGAGTGGGAGGGGAAGGGGACAGGTAAGGCTTGTTCAGGGAAGACAGTAGGTTGATTTGAACTGTGCTCTGGATTATGGCCAGAAATGGGAGCACTTGCTATTCCAAACCTCCTTCCAAAAAAGGCTCATAAGCAGCTACCAAGGCACAACATAAAAAGGAAGGAGGCAAACACTCTGGAGCTGTGACCTTGGGTGGACATCTGGTGTGAGGGCAGCCAGGAGCCCAGCAAGGACAAAGGGCACACACACAACAGCCTTGAGGTGTCTCTTCCCTGTTCACTACTCTGCTACCACCACCTTTCATGAGGGACTTGCTCAATAAATAAATCTTAGTTGACCTGAACTACTGTGCCCACAGGGTGGCCGTGAGTCGGAATCGAACTGATGGCAACTAACAACAACACTTTGCAGGCTGCAGAGTCCTTGTTAGCATTTTACTAAATTCAGCAGAATGAAATAATAATAATAAAATAACAACAAAAAAATCTTTTTTAAAAATAAATAAAAATCATAGGTTTACTAATTTGTGTGTAATTCTTACTGGGAATTCTTTGTATTGAAGTATCCGGTCTGAAAAGTCCCCACAAACGACCCTGTCGGGTTCTTCACCTTCCTTCTCTAGTTTCGGGGTTCTTATCCCTTTTTCCCCGCCACCTCCAGTCTGAGGGCCTTAGTACTCAAAGAGGCTGCAACCCGGGGGACTGAGGCCCAGCACCCAGATTGGAAAAGTGCCCATGAAGATTCTGCGGGGATACTCCCTGGGCCCAGTGGGATGCCCATCCCGACACTCCCATTCCCTACTCTGTCCAGGACGCTGTTCCTACTTAAGCTGGGTGTGCTAAGGGAAATTAGTGGGAGAGGAGGTTTCCGTGTTAGACACGAGAGAAAGAGGGGATCTCTCACCCCTTTTCCATCGTCAACGAGCGCACTAGCCCAGCGTGACCTTCGGTCCACACTTGCCTCCTCCAGATTGAGGTTCCTGCTGATGTGCATTGGAGCTCCAGAGGCTTGTCCCAGCTCCCCACCACCACCTCCTCGTCCCACAGCGCCTTTCCTGAGCCCGCACTCCGACCTCAGTAACCCCTCGCCACACTCTGCCGCCAGGCACTGGCCCCACCCGGACAGGGATCCGGCTTGACTGAGGGCGCAACAGAACGCGAAGCCCAGGAAGGGGACCGGAAGGAGGCGCATAACCTCAGCCAGCCCTGGGGCCGGAGACAGGATAGGACGCGGGACTGGTCCCCCTTCCTTCTCCAGAGCAGCTCTCGGGGAAGGAAAGTCCTCCAGGTCCCGAAGAACGACCCTGCGGAGGACCCTCAGCCTCCGGCGCGCTGGAGAGCCACCCACTCCGCGCCCAGTGGCGCGCCCATCCCGGCGGCACTACGCGCTCCGTCTGAACCGGCGGGGGCGCGGGGTTGGGGGGGCTGGGCTGCGCGCACTACCCTGCTCCGGCCGGCAACCCCTCTGCCATCTGCACCCCCGGGGCGCGCACGCGCCCTGGCCCTCCGCGGGCGGTAGGCGCGCGAGAGGGACGCCCCGCCCGCTCGGGCGCCGGACCTTTACCTCGGTTGGAGTGGCTCAGAGTGGACGACTGCGAAGACTTGGACTTCTGCCGCTTGACGGTCATCATCACCTGCTCCTGCACGCGCTGCCTGCCCGACGTGCCCGTCTTCATCTTTTGATCCGACGGCAAAGCCAGAGTCGAGTTGTCCTGGTCTTGGAAGCATTCGTACGCCAAGGCAGTCTTGAGTGGTGAGTGGATCATGGTGGCGGGGGGCGCGCGCGGGCTGGGTCTGGACGAGCAGAGAGACGGGGGACGTGAGGTGCAGCCGGCGCGGCAGGCAAGCGGAGCGTGATCTTCTCACTCTTAGCGGCTCCCTATGGCCATAGAATGAATGGTCCTCGTGAGGGCTCCCGGCAACTGCTCCTGGCGCCTCCACCCTGGCTCGTCCCTCTCCTGCCACTGACAGGGCCCGCCCTTTGTCAGACTGGATATACTACCCCTGCCCTGCACCACCCACTCCACTCGGTTGCGCGCAGCCGCCGCTCAGACGCGGGGCTGCAGGGCACTGCCGCTGCGGGAGCGAGCGCTCTTGGGGGGCAGGGCTGTGCGTCCTGCGTGTGGGGCCGTGGGTATCTGCCCTCGCTCTTCCTTTATCTCCCTTCGTGTTACCTCCCGCTCACAGGAAACGTCGCAGGCGGTGAGGCCCCGGGGAGACGCCCCTCTGTCCTGTTCCTGCCGGCTCATGGAGAAAATATGTGCTCAACTCAGGAACCGAAAGAGCTCTCTCCCTCAACCTTCCCCCCACCCCCTTCACACTGAGCTCTTGGCTGAGGCCAGCTGTCTGAGGGGGCTCCCAAACTGGTGGCGGAGGCACAGTCCTTGCCCAAAGGGAGTGCCCAATCTTACGGAGACAACCTGTTCTCCTGTAAGGCAGCCTCCAGTCCGAAGAGAGTGAGGTGGAGTCATGAAGCCCACACTAGGGACCACAGTCTTGGGATACAAAACCGCAGAGTTGTACACCTGCCATGAGTGGGTATGACCAGGAATAACACCTTGCCGGTAGTAGATTGGAAACCTTGGTGGCGTAGTGGTTAAGTGCTATGCTGCTAACCAAAAGGTTGGCAGTTCAAATCCTCCAGGCGCTCCTTGGAAACTTTATGGGCAGTTCTACTCTGTCCTATAAGGCCGCTATGAGTCAGAATCCACTCCATGGCAACGGGTTTGGTTTGTTTGTTTTAGCAGCAGATTCTCTCTGAAACCCCATTCTTAGCGCCTATAAAAAATGTTTTCGAATGGATGAATCAAGGAGTGCTACCTAATGTAAGGCAAATTAACTTTGTCTTGTCCATAAGACTACCCGACTGTGGCTATCTTATTCTAGGACTGTCACTGTTGTTGTTAGTTGCCATTGAGTCAATTCTGACTCATGGTGTCCCCATGTGTGCAGAGTAGAACGCGCCATGGTGTTTACAAGATTGTGTTCTTTAGGAAGCAGATCGTCAGGCCTGTCTTCCCAGGTCCCTCTGGATAGGCTTGAATTGCCAACCCTTTGGCTAGTAGTTGAGCACTTAACCAGGTGCACCACAACCAAGTGCATTCTCTTATGCACACAATATCCCTGTGGGCACATATGCAATGATACTTTTTTCATGTAGGTAGCATCCTCCTGAAGCACAGAGGTAGCCCACACCAGTAAATTTGGTATGTAACAGGAGCTGAGTAGTTTTTAAGCTGCTTCAGTGGAATCTTTCTAAAAGATACAGCCTGCCTTGCCTCCTTAAGCAAAAGATGCTGAACATACTTGACACACTTTTTGATGACTCAGGTTCTCACCCTGGAAATCCATTGTCAACTGTGGAGTAGTGTAGTCCAGTCAGCTTCTTGTTTTCAGGTCTCCTCCAGCTGTGTTATGCTATCAGCTACCTGGTGGTGCAAACAGTTGAGCGCTGGGCTGCCAACTGGCAAGTTGGCAGTTCAAACCCACCCAGCCATTCCGAGGAAGAAAAGACCTGGCAATCTGCTTCCATGAAGATTACAGCCAAGAAACCCCTATGGGGCAGTTGTACTCTGTCACATGGGGTTGCTATGAGTAGGATTCGACTTGTTGGCACCCCACAACATCACTTCTGCGATCATGTGTAGTTGTCACTCACAGCTCACATGCCTTATTTTAGTTTGCCCTTCTAATCCACAGAGGGAGGGAAAATCAGACATCTATGCTCATTAGGAATTATATGTCGTGGAAGGATCAAGAGTGTGATAAGGGACCATACAAGGGGCCCAAGAAGTGAGGGTTACCTTCAAGGAGCCCCAGCTTTTCCCAGGGTGCCTTCCCGGTAACCAGATGCAGAGTGGATTGTTGTAAAGCAGATCATAGTTTCCGAGAGAAACAGTTTCATAACTGAGGGTTGTGTTCCCAAGAACTCAGCGTCAAAATTAACCAGAGATGGGACAAACAACAAGCCATAAATACAAAGGTTCAGCACCTTTAAGCCTCTATCGTGACTTAAAATTTTAAGATTCTGCTTCCAGCCATGGACTGTCCCGGCTTCACAGAGCCTTGGACATTGACCAGCTCAGCCTCTGCATTTTACTGCTGAGGAGAGGAAGTGGCTGGCCTGCAGTCACCCAGTTAACACGTGGGACAGCCTCCATTCTAACAAGGCCTGGTGACTCTTAGTCCAGTGCTCTTTCTACCACATTATCTGGCCTCCCTTATAAAAGTCCTATAAAATGGGCATTAAAGTATAGTGCATGCCAATTATGTAAGGGCCTCAATGCACTATAAAGTATACTTGACAGCACATAAAAATACAGCTGTATCACATTTGGTCTATCTAAAACCTAATACGCTAGCTATAATAAGTATTAATTCTTTAAATAATGATGATTTTGCTATCTTCTAGGATGTAGAAGGAGCCCTGGTGGTGTAGTGGTTAAGAGCTCAGCTGCTAACCAAAAGGTCAACAGTTCGAATCCACCAGCCGCTCCTTGGAAACCCTATAGGGCAGTTCTACTCTGTCCTGTAGGGTCGCTATGAGTCGGAATTGACTTGACAGCAAGAGGTTTGGTTTGGTTTAGGATGTAGAAGGGCCCTAAAGCAGGTGATTGGAGTAGCCCATATTGCTATAAAAGGCACATCCAAGAAAGCAGAAACTGATTATCTTCAAAATTGTTTCAAATGAAGTTCAGTTGTTCTAGCAGCTTCTCTATTATTTTGATATTGATATTATTTGGAAGACTGAAGAAGAATTGATGTCTTTGAATTATGGTGTTGGTGAAGAATATTGAATATACCATGGACTGCTAGAGAATGAACAAATCTGTCTTGGAAGAAGTACAGCCAGAATGCTCCTTAGAAGCAAGGATGATGGATGTCATCTCACGTACTTTGGATATGTTATCAGGAGGGACCAGTCCCTGTAGAAGGACGTTATGCTTGGTAAAGTAGAGGGTCAGCAGAAAAGAGGAAGACCCTCAACTAGATGGATTGATACAGTGGCTGCAACAGCAGGCTCAAGCATAACAACAATTGTAAGGATGACACAGGACTGGGCAGTGTTTCATTCTGTTGTACATAGGGTCGCTATGAGTTGTAGTTGACTCAACAGCACCTAACAACAACATTATTTTGATATAGTATAGCAATAACCAACATTTCCTATGCTCTTAAATGTGCCAGGCATGGTTCTGGACCCTTTACATGGACCGTCTCACTCAATCCCTCAAAATGACCTTATGAGGTAGATACTGTTTCCATCATCCCTCTTTTTCAGGTAAGAAAACTGAGGCACAGTGAGGTCACCCAGCTGGTAAGAGGGCGAAGTACAAGCAGCCTGGCTCCAGAGTCTGGGACCTTAATGGTGATGTCAGGCTGTCTCCTCAGGGATTTTCCTGTGGCAAGCAGTGGGCTCCAAACTCTTCCATGGATCAATCTCTTAATAGCATCCATTTCCATCACATGGCATGAAAGTCACACCAGCTAGGGTTCTGTTCCAGTTGGTCACTAACTAACTTTATGATCCTAGACAAGTCCCTCCCCCAGGCTCCCTGCACCAAATCTGTAAAGTGAGGGGGTAGACTCGATGGTTCCAAAGTCTGCCCTGGCACTGTTGTTGTTGTTAGTTGCCACTGAGTCAATTCCAACTTATAGCTACTCCATGTGCAACATAAGGAAACATTACCTGATCCTGTGCCATCTTCAGGATCATTGGTATGCTTGAGTTCATTGTTGCAGCTATTGTGTAGTGCCTTCCAACCCGGGGGGTTCATCTTCCAGCACTATATCGGACAATATTCTTGTGATCCATAAGGTTTTCACTGTCTAACTTTCAGAAGTAGATGTCCAGGTCTTTCTTCCTATTCTATCTTAGCCTGCAAGCTCCACTGAAACCTGTCCACCATGGATGACGCTGCTGGTATTTGAAATAACAGTGGCATAGCTTCCAGTATCACAGCAACACACAAGCCGCCACAATAGGACAAACTGACAAATATCACAATAGGTGGTAGACCCTAGCCCTGATACTCTGTGATTCTGACGTCAGTTATGGGGATTTGTAGAGCAGGAGAATCTTGAATCAGATTCTCTGGACAATATTTTCTTTGCCTCCCCCTTGTCCTTCCTACTCCCAGCATCAAAGGAAAGGAAGTCTGAAACTGGACAGAGGGAGTGCTGACCACCTGTTGAGCCATTGCTGTGCATGGCATACATTATTTCATATCATCCTCCCATTAACCCCTCGAGGAGGTGTTATTATCCCCATTCTGCAGATGAGGAAACACACTCAGAAAGGTTACATCAGTGGTGAAGGCTGCGTTTGAACCAAGGCCTGACTTCTGACCTGGGAGAAGGAGAGGAAGTGGCAGTCACGTCATGCGTTTTTGGCCAAAGTGAGGGAGGTATATGCAAGCTGGAAGGATTGATTGCATTGGGGGCTTAAGTGTATGGTTTTGAGCTAGGAGGCCAGAGCTATCTCCTTCATCTCTCTTCTGCCTGCCTGAGCCTCACCCCATGTGGGGCCCTGCCTCAGCAGCAGGCCAGAGAAGAGGGTAACACTCATGAAGTGAAGGATGGAGGTCCACTAGGCATGTCACATGAGCTGAGCTCTGAAATGGCATGCTTTCAGGAGACCGTCAGGACGCATATTTAGATGGTGAAAAGGTTCTACTGGTTACGAGTTAATTTGAGTTTGCAAGTTGTGGGGGTGCTCTGGGGAAAGCTTCCTGAAAGAAGTTAATTTTGACTCAGGTCTGAAACAAGATGAGTAAATGTTCATCCTTGGAATCATTGGGATGAATGAATATGAATGAGCTTCTACCTCTCTTTGCTGTCTTCCCTACAGCTTTGTGTGACCCAGATTCCAACTCTCAGTCAGTCAAGGCTCCGAGTCTTTA